TAAGTTTTCCTTGTTATTCATGAACTTGATAGTTTTGACGACTATTTTGAGGACTCTTTCTCCATTTTGTCATCATGTGTCCCATGCTCTCTCTTTATGAGATTTGGGTCATGGGCATTTAGGAGGAAGACCACAGAGGTACGCGCTTGCTCACAGCATCACATCCTAAGCACAAGCTGTCAGCATGTCTAGCAGTGGGTGATGTTGAATTTGATCATTAGGTTAAGGTGAGGTTGGACAGAGTCTGCACATGCTATTTTTCTTTTTCTGTACTCTACGTTTTGGAAATGGATCTCTGACATAAGCACACTTGAGAATTGCCAAGATTCTCTGCCTTGTTAAAACATAGGTTACTAGGCCCCTTTTTCAGAGTTTCTGATTCAGCAAGCCTGGGGTAAGGCCTAAGAATTTGCATTTCAAACAAGTTCCTGGGTGATGGTGGTGTTGGTGGTCCAGGGACCCACTTTGAGAACCACTGATCTAGAGCATTTGTCTTTTATCGCTGAACCTTAGATTTGAGGAGAGTTCACATAGGACAAATTAGTAAAAATCATATTGCCAGGCTCAGTTTCAGGCAATTCTGATTGAGAAAATCTAGGGCGGCACACATGAGTCAGCACTTGTACAAATGTAGGCTAAGATTGGGAACCACTGGGGTTAATGCTAATTTACAATAATACAGTGAATGTGTAGCTGAGGCCTCAGGATAATGCTAAGGCAGCAGATAGGATTCAAACAGCCTGAACTGTGGGAAGAGAAGGGCAGGAGAGCCTGGGAACTCAGCAGGGTCTGAATCACAGGGCTTTAGGCTGCCAGGCTCTGACCTTGCAGTCTTTATTCATCCCTCCAGGAAGTCTCTTCATTGCTTTGAATTGTCTGAATCACATGATTGGGAGGGAGCAGACAGCACTCACCCGTACACCAGCCTGAAGTTAGCAAAAATTTTGAAATAGAATAAGTCAAACAATCATTTTATTTGCCAGTATTGAGTAATTCATTTTTTTGTAAATCTGAAGGCTTAATATTATTACAGTGATTAAAAGGGTGGGACACTCAGAGCTATTTTTGAAGAAAGCGTTAGAATTTAACAGCACCATTAGGCCACTTGAGGTTCCACTCTGCACGAGGCAGACAGCAGGACAGCTGTCTTACTCTGTTCTTTTCTTAGTCAATTAATTTTTAATTCTGATGTCTTTCTGCCTTGCAGCATTCAGAGCAATTTTAAAAATATTCCATCCATATTAACTGATAACTATCTCTCTTTCTCATGACTTTTTGTAAAATGCTTAGAGGTTGGCTCTTTACATTAACTTTTCTGCTGGTATTATCTGTGATAAAATTATAAAAATGCCTTTTCTTGTTGAATGAGCTGTGGAAGGAAAAATGTTTTCCACTATTCTTCTATCCCAAGCAAAGAAAGCCTACAAACACAGTCATTGTTATGATCCCTAGTTTTAAATAATCAGATTTGAGACTCTAAAACAGAAGGTGGTAAAATACTTCTTCTAAGGAGCCAATCTGGGATTGTAGCACTAAAGAAGCCACAGGTAATATGTTAAGGAGTGTAGCTGTGTTCTGATAAAACTATCTGTGGATTTAATCCACAGATCACAGTTTTACAGCCCCTGCGGTAAAATATCAACTAGTTCCCCCTTGTTTCATGTATCTATATCTAGATATGCATATATGTTCATATAATGTTTCACAGGTATGTCTATATACATCTATATGAATATGTTCATATTCTTTTATAGTCATATGAACATATTAGGGATTTATGCACAATTTCAGGTTTTCTTTCATAAATGTTAGAAACATTTTTTAATTGTTTTTTAAAAAATTTTTTACATAATTGTTCATTTTTAAACAATATTTGCTCTCCCCCACCCCCTCAGATGCAGTCTCCATAGAATTTCCTTCCCCAATGCACCGGTGCACCATCACCACAGTAATCCCTGTGCTCCTCCCTCCCTCCCTCTGATCCCTCTCCCTCCCTTTTTTTATAATTGTCTGTTTTTGCTTTGTTTTGCTTTGTACCGCTATTATTTTTTTACACTGATGTCTTATTTGGTTCCCCTATATTCCTGCTATAAGTGAAACCATGCGATATTTTTCTTTTTCCTTCTGGCTTATTTCACTGAGCATAATTCCTTCTAGCTCCATCCACATTTCTGCGAATGGCATGAGTTTATCTTTTTTGATTGCTGAGTAATATTCCATTGTGTATATATTCCATTCTTGATCCAGTCATCGATTTTTGGGCATTTGGGTTGTTATTGGAAACATTTTAGATGTCTCATTCATTCACCATGTGTACCCAATGACTATCACAAAGGTCTTTCATTTAAAAGACATCTGAATGTTTATTGAATAAAGAACAAATGAGTCAAGTCTGAGATTTCCTAGTGGGCCAGTTTCAGCAAACTATCCCTATGCCTTGTTTAGTTCCAATACAACTCAAATTGCTGAGCTGTAACAACTTAAGTTCGATACGCTAAAAGACTAGAAACTCATGTGGTGGGGTTCTCCTCCCTTCTCTGTAGGAGAATTATGGAATTTTTACTTCTACTATATACCAGTCAGTCACATAGTCATAAAATAACTGATATACTATGTATAATATATAATTATAATACACATATACACATACATACATATAACCAGTTGGCTCATAGATAGCAATAGAGACTGAAGCAATAGGGTTAGGTGGTTTGGCTTTACTCCAAAAGCCAAAATTGTTGTTGCAATTACCATAATAACAGGCAAAATTAAAGAGCAGCAAGGGCACTTGACCTGGAGGAAGATAGTTATCTTCCCCCCCCCCCCCCCGCCCTCCCTGGTGGCGCAAGGGGTTAAACACAGCACTATGAAACTGGCCGCAGCCTCTACAGCACCAGTGATCCCAGAATGGCCAGGGAGCTACCTACATGGCACAGTAGACCTATTCTGCCTCTCCCACTTCTCCCCTCAGCAATATATTTCAGTCTGCCTCTTCTGCTTCCCACTCTGTCTCTGGTGAATCCTCTCACCCCTCAAACCTCTGGCCTGTATCCCTGCTCTTGTATGCATAAATAAATAAATCTTAGAGAAATTATAAGAAATAAATAAATCTTTAAAAAAAAAGATAATTATCTTCCCCAATCCCTGAATGTATAATTGGGATTGATATTCCTGCTTGGAGTAACACCTACCTTGAATTTTTATTCTAATAATTGAGAGCTATCATAGTGAGGAAGGTGAAGTGCAAGCTTCTGAAACTGCACCTTGACACTCTCACCCCTTCACCCCTCCACCCCTTTACTCCCCTATCCTCCCTCTCTCTTCTCATCAGTCCTGGCTAAGATGGTGACTCAAAACACAATTTGCACTATGGTGGGGATAGGAGGAATGGCAGAAATTGGTGCTACTCTAAAGGATCTTAAGAATGCAGGAATGGTGGTTTGCATTTAATTTACCAGTTCCTTTAATTTACCAGTCTGAGTATTGCAAAAATCACATGAATCTTGGAGAATGACCATAGGGTAATGCAAATTAAACTAATAACCACAGTTGTGGTTATTGTGCTAGTGTGTTATCTCTACTAGAGCAGATTGATATGGACTTATGTATACAGTATGCAGATATTTGATTTGACATTCTTTTCTATTTTAATGAGGAAATATCAGTAAAAGAACCAGAAACTGATTGACATAGAACAGTGACAATATACATTACCGATTTCTCTGTTCTCTGTATAATCAGATGAGATCTGGTCTACCTAGACAACCTGTACATCATACTGATCAGAAGCGTGAGTAAGAAGTAGTATATTAGAGGCATTGGTAATATAAAATGTAGTACAGTAAGCTATACAGGAGTTAAATATTTGGTGACAATTGAGGCATTTTCCTCTCTGATGATGTGTTTAGGGAGTAGGCTATGTCAAAGGCATGTGAGGAAGTCTCTTTCAAGAGACAAATTGCTGCATCTTGCCTTTCCTTGCTAGAAAGAAGCAAGGAACAGATGGTGGCAACATATTCCACATCTAGCAATGTGTTCCAGGCCATGCACTGAAGGACATGAAAAGATCTGTTTTGAGTGGGGCTTGGAACAGGAAGTCAAGGCTTTAGTACAAGCAGTCCTGGGACACATGATCTGGCAAACTGCATGCTGCTGGAGCTGTTGGTAATAAGAGAAGATGCAGCACGGCATAGAGATAAAGAGCAGCACAACATAGACCTCTGGGGTTCTGGAGCAAAGCCATGGCATCTACAGTAGAGACTTACATACCTCTTGAAAAAGCCTCCTGTTGTGTTATTGGAGCCCAAATGACACAGAATTCTTGATTATAGGATACATGCATCTAGAACTCTCCATTATGAGCTAAGTTCTGTTAGACCCACAGAGCCACACTCAGACAAGCCCAGCAGCAGCCCAAGATAAAATCTCAATTGTTTATCTGGGATCAAGGCTAAGTAAGACCAGGAGATAGGAGGAACTGGGGTCCCATGTGATGATCAGAAGAAGGAGGAAAAGCCTGGACATGCTTTATGGGGAGGTCAGCTCAGTGCCTGTGGGCAAGCTGAAATAGACTCAATTGCATTCAGGGTGGATGGGACTTAAAACAGAATGATAAGGAAAAAAACCATCTCAATGGATAAAATTCAATGTGATGGTAAACATTACTCATACTGTGTAGTGGAGCAGTGTGCTGATATGACATAATATATCTCCTCATGGACAGAGGGAAGAGTCTGATAGACTGCAGGGGTCTAGAAGTAAAAGAGTGGAGAAAATGGATACAAGAAAGTTGACACAGGAATGTGGATGCACATAAGGGAATGGGCTCAATGTGTGAAGATTTTTGACTCACATATTAATGGACATCAAAAAATATCCATCAGAGAAAAAGTGCTGGACAAAAAGAAAGTAGACACAATGGCTAGGCCAGTTGACATTAGCCAGTCTTTGAATGGACACAAGACTCATGAATGGACAGACCATGGTGGGCAGAGACAGAGGCCATGCCTGGACTGATGCTTCTGAAAGTCTAAACTGCCAGCATTGGAGAAAAATACTGAGCTCTCAATATGGCATCTTCTTCTAGCAGATGACTTTTAATTGGTCATTTTCCCTGTGTTGGAAATCAATATACATTGAACCTGTAAGGCTACACATTCAACATTTTCTTGACAAAACCATGAATTTTAGAACCTTCAGTCCTTAATTTTTGTAACTTTAGTACAAACAAAGTGGAGGATCATTTCCTGACATCAGCCTCATGCCCATTAATTTGAATGGATATAGCTTTACAAATGTTAAAAAAAAAATCATAAAATTAAGCCCCTAACTCAGAAAATGGAAAACAAGTAGAAAGAAGTGATGGTAACTTTCCTAACTATTGGTGAGATATTAAATTACTGGTGCATACAAAATTGCTTAGCTTCATGTTAAATATAGTAAAGTGGTTGTTCCATAAATGTTAGTTGAATAATTATCAGTAAGAACATTGGCCTCAATAAATGCCTTTGCAATTATTCATAGACATTGGGAATTTTAACATCTTAGTGGGAATTGTAAGAGAATATATCGCCTTTCTTTTATTTAAAAATTTTATAAATTTAATTTTTCTTAATAACTCTGTGTCAGCGTAAGGACATCCAGGCAAAAAGACTGATGACATGTGCAGGGCTGTTTTGTTCTCTTAGTTCAACTTTTAGCTTCTCTAATCTAAGTGATTTGTTTACACTATATTTCTTGTCTTCTGTGCTGACTTCTTATAGTTGTCAGTGGACATGAGATTATTACAGTTAACATCGAAAGAGGAAAGAGCCTAGATAAAGGGGAAGTTTCTAAGAAGATATTTAGTGTTTTAGTGGCAATGACAACTCCCTCAACTTATGGAAAATTGAGATTTATCTGGGAAATCATCATTAATAAGTGTGTGTGTGTATGTGTGTATATAACACAATCTCTTTTGTTCCTTTTTTCTGTGTCCCTTTCCCTTGATTTATGAACATGGCTTAAAATAGTAGTTCTCTCTTTGACTAAATTTAGCTTTTTGGTTCAAATGCCAAATAACAACTATTAAGTCTTTTCAGTTTTTAGTTCAAGATATCACAAGTGAGACTACTCCTAAGACCTCCAAAGATTGGTAAATTGGCCTTTTCTACCTCATTCCTAGGTCAGAGAAAGGAAAGACTGGGAATCCAGAAGTCCTTACACAGTTCTGTGTGGCAGTTTCCAGGGAAGTGAGCCAGATGGAATTTGTAACATCTAATTTGAGCCTAAAGTAGATATGCAAAAATTATATCAAGTCCTACTGAAAACTACTCCATGTTACCATTTTTATCTTGTTATTTACATTTGAGTGAGCATTCATCTTTACATGGTATTAAGGGAAGATGACAAAGTTCTTTACATTTTTCTCCTGACTTCTCTGAGCTATCTACCAGAATGATATTAAAAACAGTTATCAATATTATTTCAGAGAACACCAAATGTTCATTCATGTTGTGCTATTTTTCTGTAAGATCAGACACTCATTCACATAATGCTATTTTTTTTAAGATCAATTTAGAATGGTTGATCAGCTCCAAGGAACCTGGAAGTCCATTTCTTGTGAAAATTTTGAAGAATATATGAAAGAACTGGGTGAGTTATGTTTATTTGCATGATATCCAGTGAAAATGGGAGCAATGGTACAAAGAACATACCCTGTATGAAATGAGATTAATATTGGAACAACTAATTTTCCACATGTAACAAAAAGTATTGATTCAGCCCCTAGATACAGTTTCATGCAAAATTAGTTTGAGATGGTCATTATTCCTGCCCCCCATGTAATTTGCTATGAATTTAAAAGATAAAACATGCATGTGCCATATATAAATAGTAAATGATTTTATGACTCAAAATAAAATGGTCATTTCACAAACACTCTAAATCTTAATGGTCCTTGAGAATAGATCTTGCTTTCCAGTTTCTAATGACTGCTGAACTTCTTAATGTGTGGCCACAACATTCCAATCTTTGCTCCCATTGTCAAATTTGATTCTCTTTTTATATCCCTCTTCCTCTTCTTATAGGGAAAGTTGCTTCTTGTAAGAAAAATTTTGATTACCATTAGAATCTACCTAGAATAAGATAGTCTCCCTATCTTAAAACCCCAAATCAACTTTATCTGCAATATCCCCTTTGGCATATATGGTAACATTACAGGTTTTAGAGATTAAGATGTGAATATCTTTGGGGGCCTGAATCCAATTTATCATATCTTTTCATCATGTTTAGCAATATAAGTTCCAGGAACTGTTTTATAGTTTCCACAATTTACCTTCTTTTAGGTATTGCTTTGTAATGTTACTTCTATAGAAAATACTCTATGTATTTCATAAAACTGTGTGTGCAAAATGTTCACCATTACAAGATAATCCCTATATTATATGAATTTAAATACAATTAAAAGTACATAATAGAGAACACAAACCTATGTATATACATATAAGAACATAAGTGAAGAAAGAGAAATAATCCATGCCAAAGTATGTTGTTTATATGTAAACCAGTGTACTCTTTTTTTCTAAAAGGTAGCGAGTTTATAACTTTAGTCAAGTTTGCAAAAGGTTTTGCAAACCAACAAGATTAATAGCTCTTGGACTAGAGAAACATGACAATCACTACATAAACACTAGAGATTGTTTTTCTTTTTCCTGCAAATATAACCTGTTTGAACATATAGCAGTAGCATTACTAACTTTATATATTTAACTTTATCTGCCATTGAATCTGTTTAACTCACAAACCTCCTTTCAAAGACTTATAGAGCTAACGTAAGTTCTCAGAGCCAACTACAGATTTAACCACTGTGTCCTTTGATCTGGTTTCCAGGAATAAGGAGAGCCAGCAGGAAACTTGGCTGCCTGGCAAAACCTACTGTGACCATCAGCACAGAAGGAGATGTGATCACTATGAAAACCAAGAGCATCTTTAAAAATAATGAGATCTCCTTTAAACTGGGTGAAGAGTTTGAGGAAACCACACCAGGGGGCCATAAAACCAAGGTAAGGCCTTCAACATCCTTTCAGGTACATTTTATTAAAATGTTCATTTGGAATCATCCTAAGTAAGAAATTACAGGAAACATATCTAAAATGTGTATTAGATAAACTTTGGGCTACAACCTAGTTCTGAGGATCTACAATTTTTAAATTACACCTATCTTCTGAGGTGCTTGTGGAAAATGCCTATTTCTAGGTGCCTTCCCCAGAGACTCTGATGTCTAGGGCGGACTCTGGAAAATTGTATATGTAACACTTCTGATTCAGATGCTTAGCAGGCCATATTTTGAGAATTATTCCCCTAGATTGTTCTCTCAGAAACAAAACTTCTACCTTTCCGTTTTGCAGCAGTATTCCACACATAATATTACAAAGAATAAAATATGCTTTAGGGCCTCCCTGGTGGCACAGGTGGTTGAGCGCAGTGCTGTGAAGCTGTTCGCAGCCTCTGCAGTGCTGGTTAGATCCCCGCCAGCCGTGGAGATACCCACATGGCGAGCAGACTTCTCCTGTCTCACCCGCTGCTCCCCTGAGCAGTGCATTTCGTCAGTCTGCCTGTTTTGTTCCCCGCTCTGTCTTTGGTGAATCCTCTCACCCTTCCACACATCTGGCCTATACCCCGGTTCTTGTATAAATAAATAAATCTTTTTTAAAAAAATGCATTAACTGGCATTGGTAAGGTTATGCCACAGTAACACATTAACTACAAACTCTCAAAGATTTAACACAAAGGGGACTTATTTCTAACTCATAGTACATGTTCTGTGTTTGGGTGGAGAAGGGAACGTCTCTGTGGGGGAGATGCTGGTGCCAGGTAACCAGAGACGTAGGGAACCTACTCCTCTTAATTTATCAGGGGCTCAGGAAGGAGATGGTTCAACTACCTTGTAGCTGGAACATCTGAAATTTGTGGTCACCTCAGTAAATAATATAGGGACAGAACTCTGGAAATTTTAATTGCTCACCTTGGAAGTGAAATACAATTTTCGTTTATCTATGGGCTCCAACTGGAACACATAAATTATATCATTTACATTTATTATTTATTATTTGTCCCCTCAAACCAGAATATAAATGCCTCAAAGACAGGATTTATTCTGTTTTCTTCCACAGAGCTCACTAGTTGTTACATCATATTAGCTCAATAAATATTTGTTGTTTGAATGAATGAACTCAATCAAAGATGATTAAACTATAAGAGTGATGTCCTGGTAAAAAGAACTGTTATACCACATTAACACATACTTGCAAAATAATATGACTTCAATTTCCTGTAACATATAAAGTGGAAGAAGAGTTTTAACCTGAAATATTTATTAAAGATGCATGGGCTAAATTTAATAAAATCTACTAGAATAAATAAAAGGTAAATCTAGGGGAGCAGTAGGAAAATTTGATGGCAATTGTAATCTCTGCCATAAGACAGAAGAATAAAGAATTTTGGTAGAAGGCTGACCTCAGTGTAAATGTAAGCTATGAAGAGTATGTGTTCTAATTATTATATAACATGATATTGCAGTAAAGTGGAATAATAAGATATCTCTAAATTTTGTGGTGTATAATATAATGGAGCAAGATGCAGACTGGTTTTGGACTGCCTGACTGTGAATCCCACCTCTGCCATCAATCCCATGTGACCTTGGGCAAGCCTCTGAACCTTGCCAGATGGGTGGGTCTTTTCATTTGCAAAAGGAGAAAATATTAGTACTTATGTTATAAGGCTGTTGTTGCCTGGTGTAAATATGAAAGTGTCTTTGAAGAGTGCCTCAAACAATAATGCTGTTCTTGTTGTGATTATTTTTATGTTGTTGGGGTAAGAAAAGAAAATGGAACTTTCTTTAAAGAAAAGAACATTGTTACAATGGAAGTTTGAATTAAAATTGTGCCAGGTGCTTTGGACATACGATTAACCCAAGTTTAATAGAAATATGATATAAAGAATGTTAAAGAACTCAACAACAATAAAACCAAAACTTAACTAAGATGTAAAAATCTGTAGTTAAAGTAAAATTAAATTACAGAAGTGGCTTTAATATATCTGACCTCACTATAACTAAGATCCAAACTGGGATTTTTAGAATTGAATTTACTTTTGATTCTTTATGCAAAAAGTGAATACTTCACCTATAAAATAAAATCTAAAAAAGAAAGTTTTACTTACTCTTCAAGATAACGTTATGTTTTCACTCGTATAAAACATTTTTTTCCAGAAGAATCAGCCAACAAATTTACTGTTGACAAAGTCTTAAAGTGAATAGAATGCTAAACACTGTGAGAGTATTACAACAGTTGAAAAGAATTTGGCACCTGATAAAATTGTAGTGTTTGATCATTTAGGCTGAATTTGTTTTTATGTCTTGCTGGTTTTTCAGAGTGTGGTAACATGGGATAATGACTCCTTGATTCAGGATCAGAACTGGGATGGGAGAGAGACCACCATAAGGAGAAAGCTAGTGGATGGGAAAATGGTGGTGGTAAGTGAGGTGCTGCTTCTCACTGTTTTTTTTTTTTTTTCCACCCACTGTAAAAAAATCTCTCTACGTAATCACTCAAACAGCTTGTCCTAAAACATGAATTGAATGCAATTTTTCTTTTTCTCTTACTTTATAAGAAGGGTGGAAAACATTGCAAGATAAAAGTATGATCATAAATATTATAACATGTGTATGGACCAAGGAACTAGAAATCTTTAGAGAATTTAAAAATTATGTTCCCTAGTTCTTTGGCTTGTGCATAAGCCATGCAAGCATTTATTTGTGCAATAAAGGTTTCATCAGGGACTGGGAATTGATGTTAATCTCCTGGTATATGCCAGGATCAATTTCTCACTGTTTTTCAGTTCATCACCAAACAAAAGTTTGAAAAGGAAATTTAAACTAGAAATGTGATGCTTAAGTAATGTCTACTTGGGGTATGAATGAGTTGACAAAAGTAAAACACTTTTATGTGGCTACCATGAACATATGCATTTTACCCCATCCTCACAATAATCTTCTGAAGTAAAATCTATCGGTTCATTTAACAGGTGAGTAAACTGAGATTCAACTTAAAAAAATAAGGTGTTGGGTTTAAAATCCAAATTGACTTGATTCCAAAGTCTATACATTTTTGAGTCATCATGTACTTTCTTGGGATGGCTTCCCAGTAGAGACGATTCAATTTTTCTCCTCCTCCCAAATATACAAATATACACATATACAAAACTGTAGGTATTAGGAGTACAGGTTCATCAAGATGAAGGAAAAAGCAAATTGGAACATAATAGAAAATAATTCAAAGGGAATATGCAAAAAGCATGTGTAGATAAAAATAAAACTGTCCTCATTTCTTTTTTTCTCTTTTTTTAAAAAAGATTTATTTTATTTATGCATGTAAGAGCTGTGGTACAGGCCAGAGGTGTGGGGGTTGAAAGGATTCACCAGAGACAGTGGGGAACAGAACAGGCAGATTGAAATACACTGCTGAGGGGAGCAGCTGGTGAGTCAGGAGAGGTCTGCTGCGCCATGTGAATTTTTTCTTTTTCTAGCCATTGCTACAACAGATAGTTAGGTGTTTTTAAAACATAAATCCCATGCTGTGGTCCACACATTCTAAACATTCAAATGTCTTTCAGTCACACGTAAACATCTCATCTCCTTTGAGCCTCAAAGAATATATCATCTAGTTCCTAGAAATCTCTTCAGTCTCATAAATTACCACCACCCACTAGTTCACTGCTGTCCACACATTTGGATCCCTTATTAGCCTTTTTTAATTGATGTGATCTTTGTTTGCAAAAACTGTGTATGTGATAGAATATGGGTTCTTCAAATGCATGTTACCACACCACATCCACCACCAAAGTACTAGTAATCTTCTACCACAGTACATTGGACCCTTCCTTCCTAGGTCTTTCCCTTTCTCTCCCTCCCATATCACCAATTCTATTGTCAGAATCCAAGGGTTTGTTTTATTTTGTTTGTTCATTTGCTTTATTTCTTTATGTCCACATAGTAATGAAATCATCAGTTATCTGTGATTTATTTCCCTTAACAAAATCCAGTCGAGGTTCTTACATGTGGCAAATAGCACATTTTCATCTTTTCTTATAGTTGAGTAGTATATGCCATTAAACAGATTTTATCATTCACTAGGAAGATTAGGAAGATTATTAGATTCAGAATCCAAGGAGGTGGATTTCCATTTCTGTGGTTCAGGACTTATATGACTTTGAATAAGTTGTTTGCCCTTGTCTTCACAATGTAGAGAATTAAAAGTAAAGGGCCTCCCCTGGTGGCGCAGCGGTTGAGCGCTGGGTTGTAAAGCTGCCCGCAGCCTCTGCAGCGCCAGTTCAATCCCCAGCCAGCGGCGAGGGTCCCACATGGCACGACAGACCTCTCCTGCTGTACCCACTGCTCCCCTCAGCAGTGTATTTCGTCAGTCTTCCTGTTCTGTTCCCCGCTCTGGCTCTGGTGGATTCTCTCACCCTCCTGCTCTTCTGACTATACCCAGTGCTTGTATGAATAAATAAATAAATCTTGAAAAGAAAAAAAGTACTTAAGAGATTAAAAAAAAAAAAGTATGTGTGTATGTGTTTGTGTGTGTGTATATATATATTCAATATAATGCTATCACATTATATTCACAAAACACTACATTGGTATAAGTTATTATTTCAGAAACAGAATATGTAAAATAGAAAAAATGATTAATGGTAGGCATTTAAAACATTTTAACAAAGGTGTCATATTTCAGTAAATAAACTTTTATATATATGCACACAAATATATTTCCACATATAAATATACAATATATATGATTTGCTATTAACAAATAGAGTTGTTATCTATCGTTGTCTGTATAGGTTTCTTTTTAAGAAATGTATAAATATGGATAGTACTCAGTTTTCATTTTTCTAAATGTCAGTTTCACCAAAAATCCTGAAATATCTTATCCTTCTAGGAGAGCACTGTGAACAGCATAATGAGCACTCGGACATATGAGAGAGTGAAAACTAATCCAGTCTCAAACTCTTAAGTATTCCCAAACTGTGATTCAAACTGCTGAGCTCATTTAAATAAAACTCGAGAATTTTATAAATATCATTCCAGTGTCTATAATAAAGTGTTGGGACCTTCTGTTTATTTTTTGGTGGTGGTGTAGTGACCCTTGCATTAAAGCACAAGTTTATGAAATGTAGAAATAGCAGCTCCTACATGCAAGATGGAACAGCCTGATTTGTCAGTCTTTATTTTGTCTGTTACCTCGTGCAGAATGTAAAATCCTGGTCAACTCCCAACTTGCAAATATGTGACTGGCTTTGATCAGCTTGGGTCAACATAATTTTGAATCTAGATTCTAACTCCTTTTGGTGAGGAAAGCACATTACTTACCACTCATAAGCCAATCACAAGACACAAGGTCTGGGATTAGGAAAGTGAGGTTTATTCAGAAAGCTGGTAAACTGAGGCTACAGGACTCATGTCTTAAACTGTCTCAATTTTCTGGCCACAGCTAGCTTTTTATAGCAGCGTGCATGGTAGGAGGAAGTGAGTTTTCTGTGGACCAGCACAACCCACTTATTCCTGTTATCTGGGAAAGTTGTTTTTCCTGACTCCTTTGAAACCGGCTGTCATTATGTGGGTGCTGTTCTTGTGGAACAGTTTTATGAGGCATCATATCACTTCAATTCATTTGTCAATAGGAAACAACTCAAAACGAGTGCTGGGAGGTTTGTTCAAGGCCGTTTTAGGGAAGGTAATAGGTTAACCATTGGCAAGAATTAACTGTATTCTAGAGGTTGTAACAATGGCTTGCTCAGTTATTTTTTTTCATTTATCTTGTTGCTTTTGTGCTTTCACTTTCTTCCCTTGTGATAGTGCCCTTCATTTATTTTCTTTTCCAGAGTTATCATTTCCTATACAAATAAAGAAGTATAGCAAGCTGGTATGTTGTGAAACTGATAGGTATCGCCATCGTTTCTCCATTCTTTATTTCCCTTTTCCAATCCCATTACTTAATGACCATCAAAGGGAGAAAACTATGCCCTCTCCATGTTAGGAACTCAGATATTATTGAAGTGAGCTTGTATTCACACTGAACTGAATGTACAGATGAGAGATATAAAGGAATTTTGGAACATTACTTTTAGAAATGATGTAATAACAAGGGCTGGACTTATTACACTATACCTTGTTACACCTTACACCATAACTGGCTAGAATACTAGACAAAATATATGAAGCAGCTATCTTCACTTAGTGAAGAACAGGGAATATACATAGGACTGTGATGTCTCATAGAAGGGAAACATTTGAGGTGAAACCTCATCATTGTTCTAGTTTTCTGCCTTGGGTTCTCCAATGGGCGGGAGGAGGGGATCACAGGAAGAGAACAGTAACCTCACTGAATTAAGGAGTAGGGAGCTTGAGGTAGTTGAAACATATGGGACAGAATTCTGGAGAAGATCCACAGAAAAAGAGCTCTTTTATTCTTGGAAAAAGTCTTTGCTGCACATACATAGAAAGAAGGCAGAGGCTGGAAAAGAGTGATCAGAGGACTGTAAACTAACCAATTCACTGGGCTTATACAGGCAAGGAATTGTTTAAGCCCTGGACAGCAGGAAAGGTGAGCTTTCCTATTCAACCGGGGCATTCAAAGAGAGCCCAGAGGATTAATTTTTGCCTTGATACTAGGACTAAATTATTTATAGTGGAAAAGTGAGGCTATACTCATGTTAAGAAACTCTAAAAACAAAACTTGGAAAGTTTAAACTGATCTACCAGTAACTTAAACACCTATAAGAACAATGACCAATACTCTTTAAAGAAAGACAATATTCAGGCATTCAAAACTTTTATACTCATAAAGTCCATTCATTCAATCAAAATTATTAAATGTGATAAGAAAAAGATAGAAAACAGTGATGGTACTGAGCCTTAACCCTAGGCCACCAGGGAGGCCCTAGAAATGGAAAATGAGATCCATAATCAGAAAAGAAAATCTGTTAATAGAAAGAGACACAAAATGTCACAGATGGTGGAATTAGCAGGCACAGGTATTAAGATCACCATAAGACATATAAATATGATGAAATGCACAAGTGAAAGTATAATATTCAAATGGACACTTACTGGATAGAATCAGAAACAGATTAGAAATTGTTGGAGAAAAGATTAGTGAATTGGAAGACATAGCAATAGTCTATCGAGGCTGAAGCAGAGAAGACAAGAACATGTTTTTGGTATAGGAAACTCCCTCACCCAAGTTTAGACACCATCCAGGAGGGAGAGTCACCCATAGCCCAATGGCTGATATAGGGGTATACTAATTCCAGTATGGGGCTGCAGCTGTGAGCCTCCAGAAGCCTAAACTACTAGAGCCGGAATTGGGGGTGGAGCACTGGGGAGGATTAATTCCTCATTCCTGAAAAACTGATAAGGCAGAACACTTCAGGTTTTATTTTTCTCATTTTTTTTCCTAACAATATGTGAGTGTCCATGGAGAATTACAGGAAAACCTTGATTTATGCAAATACCTACTATGAAAACCCACTTAAAATGAAAAACGTTCGTTCGTCTTTATATTTACTTTCTATTCAAAGACTTCCTTTAAATTATTTACAGTATTTTTTCAAAGTCTATAAAATGCATTTACTTATAACTAGATATTATTTAAAAACAAAATTCCTTTTCTTGATAAACAATCTTTAAGCGGGCAGGGATTTTGCTATTGTTAGTTTTGGTATGAACAATGATGTTGTATCCCAAGATCTGGAACAGGGCTGGGTATACCTGGAAGTGTTACGGAAATGATAAACAATAAAATGAGGGAGTGAAATGGACTCTTATCATACATGAAGTAGTATTTCCTATTGCTTTCCTCAAGATGGTGCTGTGATCAATATAAAAGTTCACTTAAGCAGTGTCTTTTTTTAATATGCCCTTGATATCTGATCAATTGCCTTTTATTTTGCTTTTTAAAGCTTCCCATATTTCTCTATTTTTTAAAGTTTTATTTATTTATGCATACAAGATCTGGGTTACAGGCTAGAGGTGTGGGTGGTGAGAGGATTCACCAGAAACAGAATGGGGAGAAGCATAGGCGGATTGACTGAAATACACTGCTGAGGGGAGCAGCGGGTGAGACAGGAGGGTAGCTTCCTCCTGCGCCATATGGGTAGCTCCCTGGCCAGCAGGGCATCAAACTCGTGCTACAGTGGCTGTGGATAGCTTCATAGTGCTGCATCTTAACCTCTTGTGCCATCAGGGAGGCCCAAGCTTCCTATATTTCTGACCTCCCCATCTTTTGGAATTTATGTTCTTTATGAGAAGGGGCTACAAGATTGTTGGGGTGTTGGTTTTCTTGCCTTTTCTCTCCACTATTTATCTTTGGTATGGTATATTCAGTATTTGAAATTTTAACTATTTTAACTGAAGAAAGTTATGTCTTTCAAGAAATGGGAACAACAAATTACTATACAAAAATGAACAATGTAAGAAAAAAATTAAATTTTTTTTAAAAAGAAATGGGAACATTGTTAATTTTTCTTTTTTTTTATTGCAATAATGGTTGTTTATACCATTTATAGCTAAGTATAGACATATGTATGTGTGTATATATGTAAAACTGAAAGTTTAGCTATTATTAAGTAGATTAACTCTGAGCCCAGTTAGATACACATATTATCAGTTCTGAATATAGGGGGATGGGGCTAGAAAAGGTCTAGAACTTGAGAGACATGGTGAAGCCTTTCCTTGTTCCACTTCTTCCTCGGACACCTCCCATTAGGGGTCCTCAAATGATGCCATTTCCTCCCTTTTGGCTCTTCAAAGTTTTTCTGTCTTCAAGAGCTCCCCTTTAAGCCAGGATTGGAAGTAAGAGCACTATTTTAAGCCCAGTACCTTCTAACACTGGATGAGTTCAAGCCTTGTGAGGTCCTGTGGGGATGGAAAGCTGATGGGTCAGATGACAAGGGGAGTCATCAGTGACTGCGGGTTACTGAGGTGACTCCTACTTCAGCAGTGTCTCTCTTCTTATTGTTCTCAGACAAAACTGTAAAGATTTCATTTCTGGAATAACTGACTGAGCTCTGGGGAGCATGAAAGTGCTCTGAGTCCATGCTACCTCGATATGCGTTAACTTATCCCAGGCGTTGTGCCATCTTTCACAGTGGACACAAAATGTATATTCCAAGCACGGACTAGTGCAAATATAAAACATCTCAATTAGTCATAACAAATATATCTGTAAATTACACGAACAGAGAGAATACAACCTAATTTATCTTTTTAATCCACCGTCCTCTCATTCGCCCTTCTCAATGTCTGGTTTGTGGTATTATGTAGGTGATTTACATAAAAAGAGAATCAATTAAAATTAACTGCATAGTGTTGTAAAGTCATAAGATGCGAATCAATACTTTGATGTAATTTAGCAGAGTACCATGTACATGGGTCCCCTTGATCAAGGTGCTAAATATTTCTATGCCTCCAACTTAAAAATGAATGGGATGATGATTGCAACCAAACTGCAGAGTTGTTGTGAAGCTAATTACTTATTATACATAAAGCTGTCAGTCCAGTCTCTGCTCAGGGCAGGTCCCCAAGACTTGAAAGAAATAAATTTGCTGGCCAATTCTATTTTGGAGGTGAAATTGCCTATATGCAATATTGCAAAACCAATGCAAGGAATAGTTGGTCATTCTAGAGTCAAACCATTAGATGAAATTAAAATCTTTCCCAAAATTAATCTCAAACATTACTGGCTAATTTTGAGACTGGAAATATTTAATAATTTAAAAGAAATATTCCTATTTTGACTCCATAGGTCTGCAATTGCATTAAAATTTAAACTCTATTACCTAAGGGCAGTCTTCTGCCCATGTACTATAACTTAATTTTTTCAGTTTATTTATGGCCTTCGGTCCTATGTAATGTTACTGTAGTTAGATAGCTTGCTTTCTTCCTGACTTGTTAGTGAATTAATGCCTTCAATCTA